GCCCAGATCCTCCTTCCCGTAGGAAGTCTGTCAGTTGTTGAATGATCGTTTCCTCTTCGAATATTCTGCGTGTATGTCTAATAGTGGATTGATGTTGGTGTAGGCTATGTGAACATATATGATGTTTTGTAGACCTGAAGAAGGGCTTAAGGCCCGAAACGTAGTCAAGAGATAAACGACTTGGAAGAGTTTCATTTATGAATCAAACAGAAGACTTGCATTACAACAAAGCTCAAAAATCCTTTGATATTACTTATAACTAGTGTAGACAAAAAACTTATATTACTTTTATACTCAGTGCTCCACATCCGTTTGCGTGAACAGAAAAAGGTGAGACACGGGACCAGCTTGGCAACTGCTGAGCTGTCTGCTCTCCATCGACAACGTTGCCCCTGATGTTGTCTTCTGCCATGGATGCAGTTCACCTCAACCGTACTCCCAAATATGGTGGCGAAAGGCGCGTTGCGAATGCTGTCACATGCGCGGAATTTCCAGCAGTTCCTCAGGGATTCATCGTGACAATGCTGCAATGTGTTGACTCACCTAGCTGTGTAACGCTGCATCCTCCCCAGCGAATTGGGCCCTACTCGGATGTTCCGACCTACACTCGCTTAGGGAGCGGCTTAGGGAGCTCATGGTAAGCGTGCCACTTAGACCACCGCGCCGCGTCATTGTTGGACATACTTCACTATCAGCAAACAGGATCATGAATCGCTTTAGTCTACTGGAATCCTTAAAGGCACGGTCCGCGATAGGAGCAGGTAGTGGATTTAAATATCCTAGAGAGTTGCCAAGTGATTCGTCTGTGAAGAGAAAACGCCGAAGGCTACATCGGCAACGTCTTCAATAAGGCCATTCAAGACATCGGCAACGTCTTCAATAAGGCCCCTCAAGCCTCAAACAGCGTACGTTTGACAGGCGAAAAGACCGCCTGTTGGGACCAGACGGCTGATTCGTTGCGGTGAACCCTATAACCCCATAGTAGACAGAAAAAGCTTTCCATTTAACTTTACCTGTTCGGCAGCATCGCATTTCACTGGAAGGCGAAGCCTCTGAAAAACGGAGGTGCCTTTGGAGCAACTTTGAGTCTTAACTCCTTCATCTTACAAGCTTATGCCGCGAAACTGGCACAAAAGGGGTCTACGGGCTTTTGTCAACCGCGGCAATGGGTGACTCAGCAATTTGTCGCGTCGTCGGTCGTCTCGCACACTCTCGTCGACGCTGCGTCTCCGCTTAGAAAGGCTAGAGCGTAGACAGAAAGGCATCCACCGATCCCGATTGCCGACGATCACCAGTTCACGTGATTGTTGCGTGCTTTGCTCGTGTTTGGTCACTCTCCGATGCTAATGATTCGTTAAAAAAATAGGAAATCAAGAAGATCTTAACTATAAGAAGGAACTCAGTCCTTCTCGCTTCTTACTTCAAGTATTATTCTTGAAGTGGAACTGGTGTTTGTTGAAAATTAATTGTAGGAATCACCAGTTAGAGATTAATATAGGTAACGGATGGAATTGACCGAGTTCCACAGAAACTACAGGCACAAAAAAAATAAGAGTTTATTATAGGTAACGGCAAACCGAACAGCAAAGAATAATGCAAGAGGTAAAAACCAACAGAGCAAGAGGTCACAGGCAATAAGCAAGAACCAGCAACTAATCGATCCACAGGCTTATATAGCGGGCCAGAACTTTCTAGAAGGCGGCGTCCTTCGATCCGTTCGGATCTATGTACTGTCGCACTAACCCGCGCGCGCCGCGCGCGCTCGAATTCAAAACGAATGCTTGCCGTGAAGCCGCACTATTCAGCCTGTAAAGGAAACTACAAAAGAATAAAATGAGCAACTTCATGTTATTAAACCCATATTTAACACACCAACCATTACCATGCCATTCATCTTTAACCGTTTACAGATCCAAAAGCAACGGGAAAAGCAGCGCATTTGTTCTCTCGTTCAAGAGCTGGGAGGGAATGAAAGGGGGTGGTGATCTATTGACCAAGAGTTTTGTTCTGCCATGCGATTCATAACACTGCATTTATCAGAGAACTTTTATAACCAGTATAAGTTGCGGCACAGTAGTGCGGATATATGCGATACAAGATACACGATATGCAAGACGCTGTCTGGCTTTATGCCCTTAGATGTAGCATG